CGCTATAGATAAGGATCTTGTATTTTTTGCATGAAAAAGAGCACAGGAAGAGTTTGATGAACAGACACTTTTATAATAAAACTCTTCTGTCTCATTGAAACTGTAGATTGCTAGCTATTACATGGCACTGAACAGTTTTCCTTTCAGTATTATCACACAGTGACTTAAATGTGATGAGGCATTAGAACAGACTGAATTATTTTAATTTTACTTTTTCTCTGGGTTCTGAAGCCATTGTGTTTTATTTTGAGGTAAATTATCCTATTTATCTTGTCTGCATAAATACCTTTATGAATAATGCAAGAAGCTGAGATGCTAAAAGTAAAAATTACAGACCTGTCCTTAAAGGACGGGATTAACATCCCGCAAGAGCTTATTCAAAACCAACTGGTGCCTTTCTTCTACAATACAAAAATGTGCCATTTTGGAGCTTTTGCAAAACCATTATAGTGGAGTGTTGCCAGCTCCATTAACAATTCTGTACTAATGACAGTTAAATAACCGAGTGGGGTAAAAGCAAGCAATGGAACAGTCTGTGCAGGATCTCCTTTTTCGTGGATGTTGTAAGAAGGCTTGAATGAAAAAAATGTAAAAATAGTTCCTTTGGGGTAAAAGCAGCAACGTCTTATGTTGAATTACAGCTAGAAACAAGAAATATTATACTGAGTGCAAAGGTAGTGCAGATATTTACCCAAGGACTGCAGAGGCAAGTTAAGGGTATGGAAAATTTTCAGTGCCCGAGGAAATATTAAATTAGCTGTTTCTCACAAGCGCTGTTTCAGAGGAGCTATTAATATAGTGAGATATACAGAAAGCCCATGCAAATCTGTGAGTCAGTGAGCGTGTTCTCACTGAATTCTATGAGCATGGCTTGGCCGTGTGGGATGACAAGGTGAATGTGTGCATGGAAAGAGCCAGGCTCCTCCATCCATGAGGGGATGCTGCAGGAAGGCAGAGCCTGGAGCCCCCAGAGCCGGGAGCCCCGAGGGTGGGCAAGACCTAAAGCGTGGGAACACGGCCAAAAAACATCCAGCCCTTGTTTCCTTGGGCCTGTGGCCTTACAGAATTTCCAAACAGGTTTTTCAATGCTCCTTTGAAGAATGATTGTGATTTTTGCACTGTTTTCACTCTTGGGTCAGAGGTGTACACTTTCATTTCAGCTTAACATAATTTTATGAAGAAAGTAGATATAGTGTATTCTGGTAAGCGTCTGCACACATAAACCACACACACACAAATTGTGAGTATAAAGCTCCAATGCTATACCAAAACCCCAAACCAGACTTTGATAGAAAGATAATAATCCTGAGGCAAGTATGCAAATATACTGCTAGGATCTAAAGATGGAAAAGCAAAGATGAAGAAAGGTGAATTGATTCCAATTCCCTGACCTGGCCGTTATGTATAGCAACATCTTCCTCTGCAGAAAAAGTCCTCAAAGGTGTTTTCAAAAGTCATAGTATGTCCAGATGGAATGACTTATTAGGTGGACTAAGTGGTGTCGTGGTATATGATACACCATTCTATAAAGCTGTTATTTGTAGTTCCCTCTGCGTATTATGAGCACCTTAAATAATTTTGAATTTCTGAAACAAATGCATACTATTTTGCTGTACCTGCAGAGAGATGTGTATACACCTGCTACAAATAATGCACAAGACCACAGGAGAAGCTTACAGACCTAATCATGATATTTTCCTCCCCTTTTGCTCTTTATGTACATTATGTACATTATTTTGCTCTTTATGTACGTACATGGGAATAAGAAGCTGCAGTGTATTAGACAAATGGAGAAGCCGCTAACGATTTTCCTTGTTTGTACCTCTTTATGCATATTGGATTACGTGGTGCTGCTAATGATGTGTTGCCAAAGGAATGCTCAGTTGCTACAGAAGCAGGGAATGATTCCTTCCCCACTCTCCTCCCCAGCCCCTCAGTCCAGCCTGTCTCCAGCACCCTCATGTGGGAGAAGGCTGAGCTGGGGTGCTGAGTTTCACCTGGAGAGGAGCAGGGCAGCTCCCATGAGCTGGAAATGGCTCCAGGAGAGGAGAGGCAGTGGGAGGGAGCAGAGCTGGGGTGATTATTGTGGTGGTGTTGTTGTTGTAGTAGTTGCTGCTGCATCGATGGTGTCTTTTGTGGCAGATGTCTCCAAGGCAGCCTGCACAGCACCACCTTTTCCTTTGCCCTCCGTCCCTGGCATGGGTAGGGCAGTGCTGGTGGACCTCCACTGGTTTAGGGAGATCAAGGAAGTAAAGGAAGAACCTACCCAAATGAAAGCAAGTCCCGTTTTCCCAGCTCTGCTGGTTTAAGAAATTGGTTTGTGTCTCCCTAAGCGAAAGGAGGTTGTAGGGAGTTGGGAGTTGATCTCTTCTCCCAAGTGACAAGTGAAAGGACGAGGAAATAGCCTCAAGTTGCACCAGGGAAGGTTTAGATTGGATATTAGGAAAAAATTCTACACCAAAAGGGTTATGAAACATTGGAACAGGCTGCCCCGGGAAGTGGTGGAACCTCTGTCCCTGGAGGTATTTGAAAAAGAAGCAGAGGTGGTGCTGAGAGCCGTGGTTTAGTGGTGGTTTTTGTCAGCGTTAGGTTGGTGGTTGGACTCGATGATCTGAAAGGTCCCTTCTAACCTAGACAATTCTATGAGTCTAAATAGCAGTGAGCAAAATCTATAGACAGCTACGGTACTGCCACGATAAAGTGATCTAGTCTTGAAATAGTTGTGTATAATTTTGCTTTTCTGACATGATCGAAGACACTCAGAGAAAGACTATTCTATTAAGTAAACTGCTGCTTAGTTTTGGTGTCCTGGCAGACAGGCTCTCTGAAGAGTCATCTACCAGTCCATTAGTATCCTATACCATGAGCCTAAATCAAATACACTTTCAGAAGGGCTTCAGTTTACAAATGAACTTCAGGAAAACTCTATTGATTTTGTAAATTAAAAATGTAAAGTTGAATGGATAGAGGTCCCGCACAGGACTGACCCGAGGAAGCAATCTTTAACCAGGAGCGTTCTCTGATTCAACACTGGGAAAGAGAAGAAAGCAAGATGAAGGATTCATTTGCAATTGACCTGCAATAGCAAAGTCATTCACTTTCCAAATGGGATTAAACTTGTTCCATCAGCCACGACATGTGAAAAGATCATGGTTATAAATTCCATTTGCTGTAATGAATTGAAAGCGTCTGAGTTTGCAAGCAGCGCTCATCGTTGATGGACAGCTAGATTTGTGCAGTGTTTTAACACTAAAATTAGCTGCTACAAAATAAAAAGTACAGAAAAGGTGGCAGCAGTGACAGATTTTAAAGCATAAAAGAATTGACTTTATTGTTAGATGGAAGCTGAATAAAACTAGGAATATAATGGTTATAACCCTGTTATGTAGATATCTTGCTTTGTTCTTGAGTGAGGGTGAACACAGACCTGGAAAAAGGGATTTATTTAGGTTTCTCATCCTAGGACAGCCTTTATTCAACAAGAATAAATATTGTTATTTAAGTGAGGAAAAAAAAAATCAAACTTTTCTATGGTATTGCTTGTAAGATGTAAGAAAATGGGATTATATTGAAAGATACTTCATTCACCTCAACTCCAGTGTGCATCAGCAAGACTCCAGTGCAGTCCATGAAACCATACTGGTGAATGTGTTTTGTAAAGTGAGATGAAAGGTGCGCTCTGTGGTTACTTAATAACCTTAACTCGGTCTTGCATCGGGATCATGAGAGATTTGTACTTTGATGCAGAACTAAATGCAGTTTCAGAACCTATTTTCCCCAAAATTGTATGTTACGTGTATACAATTTTACGCGTATTTTAAATGTGCCGATTGCCAAGAAAAAATCTCAATGGACGAAAATGGCTCATATTTGTGGATAATTTGAGATTCATTTTAATTGATGAGGCACCCAGCTGAAAACTGTCCAAGATTTAAAAAGAAAAAAAAAAGCCTGAGCTAAACAGAGGAATGAAAATATAATAGCTTCTTAAATTACCGCAAGGTTAACATATAATTAATTTGCTAATTTTAATTACAACCCTACAAAATGTGCTGAAAAATGCTCAAAGGGGAGAAGCAGCCAGGTGCCAGCCTTGATTAGCCAAGGTTACTACCAATTATGAGGTCTCTATTAACCGTGTTACCGAAATTTTACAAACTCCTTCATAAAATCAGCACATTTATTGAAACTCAGCGGGGTTTTCATCTTGCTGCACCTTTGCATTGCTCCAGACCTGCTGTCATCTGCCTCGCTCGTTTCCAGCTAAATGTTTTATTGCAGCTGTAACAGGGAGTGCTTTTTCTGTTTGTCACACGCTGTTACACATATACTAGGTATTCATTTTGATCATATAAAAAAAAAGAGATTCGCTGTTGTTTGCAAAGTACTCTGAGCACCTTCAGTGCCAGAGAGCTGCAAATGTCACAGCTGAACACTAGCAACACAAATCCTGAAGAAAAGGTTTCCTTTCCAAGGTGTCCTGGGACGTGCTGTTCGTAAAGCAGGAATATTGCTGAAACGGCCTTTTCAGCGGAGAACCTGCTCTGCAATGCTCTATGTGCACAGACAAATGTAACTTCTGAGTTAAAAACAAAGAAAGAGCAAAAAAATAAATCTGCATGTTTGCTTTGCATTTTAAACAAATCATGGTGTAAACGAATGTCTTGTGTGTATCAAATTCCATGATGTTTTACTGTTCTTTTTTATTGTTGCTATGTGAGTCATGTTCTAAGTGTCTGTTGTTTGGAACTGTAATAAACCTTGATCCCTCTATTAAAAGAAGATTGAAAAAAAACCCCAATCAAACAAAAAAACCCAACCCACACCCCCAAAACCCCCACCAATAACAACAACAACAAAAAAAAAGCAACCCTGAAGTATTGGTGTCAAAGGAAATTAATTTCCTGGCTGGCTTGTGTTTTTCTCTGAGGCAGATATTGATGAGTGTGCAGAGGGGATCATTGAGTGTCACAACCATTCACGCTGTGTTAACCTCCCAGGGTGGTACCACTGTGAGTGCAGAAGCGGTTTCCATGACAATGGAAGCTATTCTCTTTCCGGGGAGTCCTGTGTTGGTAAGCAATGAGCAGCAGAGCGCTTTTTTTATTTATTTTTTTTTTCCCCCCCTCCTTCTGCATGGTATTACAAAGTGACTGTTGAGACACTGTCCCGAGCAGTTCTTGTGTTTAAAGCTAAAATGAGAACGCAAGGAGCGTGTCCGTGTTTGTCAGCATCCCCGGCCCCGCAGTGTGGGTGCTGGTTCAGGAGGTGTCACGTTTTGGAATGGTTATTACAGGAGGGATGCAGTCGGGGATCCAAAGTGTGACTGACTGCGCTTTGCCATTCGTCATCATAAGTTGCTGTAAAACCTGAAGGGAAAGTAGCCTTTCTGGGGAGCGTAACAGGCCACAAAAGGGGAAGAGCTGGTTTTCCATTTCAGCAGAGCGATAGGAGAACACATTTGGGACATTGCTGTGTTGCTTTTGATTTGTTTCTTTTCCATTGTTTGGCATCTTCATCATTTTCTTTTTAGAATTATGCAACTAGCATTAAGCTCTTGGGGCACCGCGTTTGCAGAATGAGGCCTTAAGAGCATGAACAGAGAGGAATCTTTAAAGGGTGTGGAGGAGTTTGTCAGTTGTTTCTGTGGGAGGAGGAGGCTCCATGAAGACTCAGTGCTTGTGCTGCAGCCTGGGTGCCCGTGTCTGGGCGTGAGACTCTGTGTGCCCCTGCAGCACATAAGCAGTGATAATATCAGAGGGAAGGTGGGAATTGTGACTGACCTTTGCCTTACTATTTTTTCTCCTTTTCAGTTTCTCTTAGAAGCCTTATACATAATTTCTAAAGGATATTTTATCAGACCAATTTAAAACTATTTAGAAATGATCCCATTTTAACTTCTATAGAGATACAGATTGGCTTCTCATAATTTTATGTCCTTTCTTTGGAATTTCAGTTACTTTGTCTCTACTCAGTTCTAGGCATTTTCTATAAAGGCTTTTCTGTTGCTTCTGTAAAAGACCTTTTATTTTTTAGCACTGTAAGTTTAATTTGTCGTGTCCTTAAGTGCAAAGTAAAAGTTATAGTAATATAGTTAAAGTATACAATTCAAGTAAAAGTTAAAACAAAAATTTGTAATAAAAAGATACAAATTTACTTGTAACGTTTAGCAAACATTCCCATCTTTTAAAAATTGTGGCTACTAGAAGTCCTTGGGATAAGGTAGCATCGTGATTTAGAAATGTAGAGGGACAGCAATTATTTTCAAAACCAATATATTGTAGATTGTCCAGCTATATTGGCTTTTTATACATTGTCCTAAGCTGGCGGGGAGCTCAATGAAATCACAGCAGTCAACTTCATCCAGGTGGCTGTGTGAAAAAAAAAAAAAAAAGTAAAAAAAAAGGCAAATTAAAAAAAAAAAAAAAAGTAAAAAAAAAAGGCAAATTATATACAGCATTTTGTGATTTAATAAATAAAATGCTATGTGAAGGTCATCTATTTCTAAGGAGATTCTCAAATGTTAAGAGATCTCCTCTGGTTTATTTAAATACTGTAAAGGGAGTGATGGGCAGAGCAATGTTGAAAGTCATCCTTCTGTGAGAAGCCAGGCAAGGTGCCATAACCTTCAAAAAGCCCTGAGGCAACTGGGGCCAAGGGGCGTTTGTAGCAGCCCCGATGGCCACCTGGGCTGGTGTGTGGGGGCCCCCACCCCTCGTCAGGCTGACCTGCCGTTGCTGGTTGGGGATGAAGAAAGTCTAAGGCTCAGGGAAAGACAGACGCCTGGACAGGACTGGGCTCGAGGGCTGGAAAGGTCACTATTGCTTGTGCTGTGTCGCTCTGAGAGGGAAAGGCCCTTGGCTGCCTCACAGCAACAAGGAGCCCCAAATGTTCTGTGTTCTGGGGAGACAGAAGGGATGAGTTTCTGTGAAAACAACTCTCCTTGTTTTGCTCTGCGCACCGTGCTCGGAGCTCATAAGGCGAGGGGCTAGACCTTCCGTATGCAAGTTGTAAACAGAATTTGAAATTAGGTGGGTTATTTAAAAAAAAACACTTTTCTGACCCATCTGCTGCAGGGTACCAGTGAGGAGTATAAACCAGTTTCGTTTATTTCATTATACTGGTTAACCAATTAAAAATTGATTGAAAGATTCTCCTAACCTATCTAGACAGTGAAATTTCAAACCATGATGTTTATTTTAAGGCACAACTAAGAATTGGGTAAAATGACAGATACCACTACACGTTCGAGCTAAAACTCAGTTTCTTGAACACTGACTTTGATCCCGTTACAGAGCTTGTTTGCGTGGTGGAGTATTTAGAGTCAGGGCCAGAGTCATCCACTCTATTTCAGATAAAAGAGGGTTCGCCTGCTTAGCAACAGCATTTTGTCCTGGTGTATTTTACAGACTGTGACTCAAATCCTGGTGTGTACCTGGGGTGGATTTGGGTCGTTGCCATTCAGTCTGTTTGGAAACGTTTCTCCTTTCTCCCTGAAGGACAAAGCTTGGAGAGCAATCAATAGGCTAAGAACATAAGTGAAAAACATAAAAAAGATTGAGCCCTCCCCCCCACAAAATACTAATAACATGAAAATCAGAAGGCAGTGGGAGGGAGTGCTCAGCTCTGACAGATTGCCCAAAGCCCAGGCAGCCGGTTGCTTTTGCTGGGTGCGTTGTGTGTGTCTGTGGGTTAACCCCCTTTCCCTCCCTTCGTATGTCGGTGCTCTGGGAGCTGAGTCATTGCTTGCCCTGTCTTTGCAGTGCTTGCAGAACATTTTAAAAAAACCAACATCTATTTGGGAAGTGTTCTGATACTTCAGTGCTTTTGAAAGCTTTATTCTTTATTATAGGAAAAAAACAGTGGAGTTTGTCACCTGGCAAGGGACAAATGTGTGAATCAAAAGATGTAGCAGGGAAGGTCGTAATATGGCACCAGAGCTTGGGTAATAAGGATGTATGACTTAGCCAGGCCACTTCAAGCTTGGGAAAATTCTCTTATTGCTCAAAATATCAACCAAAGGCAGCTTTGAAAAGGGAATATATTTCCACGGCTATGCTTTTATAAAAGATGTCAGCTTTGTAAGGTGATGGTGAGCAGGCTCAAATTAAGAGAATATAATTTAGTTTCTAGCAGTAGTGTTTTTATGAGGTACTGCCCTTTCACAATATGTTATGAAGAATACTGCTTCCAGACAAAAAAAAATGCTGTACTAAGTTGCTACTAAAGCTTGCTTGGCAATTGAAATGTGTAGGCAACAGTTGCTGGGTTGCTGGGTTTTTTGTACTTTTTTTTTCTTTTCTTTTTTTTTTTTTTCTTTTTTTTTTTTTTCTTTTTTTTTTTTTTCTTTTTTTTTTTTTTCTTTTTTTTTTTTTTTAATAGGAGCTTTGCTATGCTTTAAGGTAAACAAATAAAAATACTTGACAGAGAACTATGAGTTGTCATATAATACCTATCAATACTGGGATAGTCAATACTATCCCAGTATTGACTGTCTACTGATACCGTATTGAAACAGCCAGCGTACATTGGTTTTGCCCTGCACTAAGTACCTGTTGCCAAATACTGCTACCTTGCAAGGTAATCGTTGCATGAAGGTACCCTCACCAGTGAGTTTTCAGTGATAACCTTTAAGATTGTCACAACCAAAAGAAGAGGAAAAACTGGAAAAGAAATGCTCTATTCTGGGAAGTTAATAATGTCCCACAAAGCTCGCTCCTATCCACCACAGAAACATAAAAGCAAATTAAATTATACTTTTTAATCTCCATCTCTCTTTAAGTGAGATGCTTCCAGTCTGTAGAGAGCTGTTCAGACCCTGGGGTACAGAATTCCAGATTCCGTTTTGTTCATGATGACTCGTGTTTCAGAGTCTTCACATTGTGACTTGCAGGCACAGAAGGAAAACCAGCCAAGGCAGCAGTCCCTGGCAGTGGTTGGTTATTTTTTCCTTTTCTTTAAGAATCGATGCAAACTTTGTAGGGAAGCTTGACACGGATCCTGCTCCCACCAAAACCCCACAGCATTCACCATGTATTTTGTCCTGACAGGTGGCATAGCTAGACCTCCCTGCAGGGTTAGAGAAGCTGCTGTGGGGAAATGAAAGCTGGAAGAAGGTCGGAGTCAGCAGCTTGAGAGAGAAAACTCCCCGTGTGTTGGGCTCCCACAAAAGCTGGGGGCAGCAATGCCTGAGGGTCAAGGCTAAATGGGTTTCAAATCAATTCCTGAAGCTTTCATATATTCCATAGTATGCTGCAGTGGTGTCTGTGACCTAGATTAGAAACTAAGAGAAAAGGAGGGGTTTTTTCTTTGTTTATTTTGCCCCCTTTCTGTGTCAAACAGAAAGCTAGACCTGCCCTTTGAAAAATCTTCCTGTGTGCCTGGGAATGGCTTTTTTATCTATTGGGAGAGAGAAAGGTTTGCGTCTGGTACAGAGTGTTCAAGACCAACTCTAGAACCTACTGGTTTTTTACTTTCTTCTGTTCTGCTCTTAGAATTTCTTAAAGCTCCTAATATCTCTCTGTGGATTTTATCCTGCAAAATAAAAATTACCATGCTTGCTTTCCACTTCGTAAATTCTGATTCTTGTGTTCTGAGACAAAGTTGTGTTACATGTCTTCAAGGTAATTGTGTTTAGTCATTTCTGTATTTCTAGAAAGCATTAGTAAATCCTATATTCAGAATCTAATTTACTATGCAATGCTCTTTAACAGACCGTTATGTCTCTATAGAATAGAAGTGCTATCATAAAATATTTTCTAACTAAAAATGAATGTGTTTAGTGATACGTTTTTTTCCAAAGATGAGTCCAAATCACTTTGATTTAGAAAGAAGGCAAATACATTAAGTGACAAGTTGCCTGTGAAAAATGATATGTCAAAACAGTGTTTAGTTAACTGGTACATACATTGGCTTGGGAGCCCGGCATACATTTGTCACGTTAACATTAAACTGTAATGGTTTAATGTACCATAACAGTTAAAATTAGCACATTAGTAGGGTTCTTTCTTCTGCAACAGCTTATCATGATATTACAGAGCACCACACCGCATGACTTGCTTGCACACATTTATTAAGGTGCTATAGAAAAGGCACGCCATTAAAACCTGAATAGCCTGGAAAACTAAGAAATGAAGTGGCTGGGGATTGGTTTAAAATTTCAGTGAAACCACGTTAATGAACTTGTGTTGATACGTACAGTCATGCTTGTCTTCTGCCCCATTCAAATACAGTGGCCATGGGACCTCTCATAATATCTGAGGCAAATTACTTCTCGTTACAGCCAAAAAGGATAGAAAAGGAAATTGCATCTCAGGGGGTTATTCCGTGCCATTTTGATTCTGATTTCTTGTCTGCCTGCGTTACCAAGCGATGTACTTTGAGAGTACACTGGGAAATGAGCACATCTTGGGTGGTTTGTTTTCTTATTTTCCCCATCCACAAAATGGGACTGGGTGCATTGCGGCTAAAATAGGTATGATCAGGTAGTTGTTCTTATACTTTTGTTTAAAGAAGCGTAGGCTGGGAGTGTTTGAAGAGTGAAGATCAGTTTTATGATAGTCCTGTGCACTGTTGGAGGTGGCATGTCTCGGCAACAGTCACTTTGCTGTTGGCTGTATGTTGTTGACAGAAAATAGCATGAGGCCAGCATTATAAGCACAATTCTGATGATGGTCATTTCCACTGTGTCCTCACCTTTCCTTGGAAAGGAACTCTGTGGAGGGGGGAAGTAAAGCTCTGCCACTTTTCCTTGGGTTAATGAGTAGCCTGCCACAGATTATCTCAATCTAATGAACAAAAATTGCTAAGTCCTATTCCAGGTATGAAAATAAGATTGTTTTCACAGGTTGACAGGACACCTGAAAGTCCCCCCAAAAGTCAAGACCGGCATCTTATGCTGTGTACCCTGACAGGCTCTGGAGTCCCCTTGCTATTTCACTTATATAGTTGTCCGTTGCTCTTCAAAGTTGTTTGATTATAAATGAATATTTCATCTTCTTCCTCCCTAGTGTTGTTCCAATGGGAAGTAGGATTTGTGTACAGTTTTGCCTTGCCCACCTTTAACCGTTCCAGTTTTGGGCCCACATCTTCTGGGAGCATTTGTGGAAAAAGCAAATGAAACCTGATGGGAGTACGGGGAATTTGAGCTGAGCAATTATTTGAATAATATAAAAATAATCTATATGCAAGAGACTTATAGTAAAATTTTCCTATTCATTAGAAGATTGGTTTGGACATGTTCAGAATTTTAAACTAGGCTATTTTTTCCACACCTAGGTAGACACATGGATTCCAGTTGTTAACAGAAATATCACACTACATATGAGTACTTCCTTCCATGTTTTGCTTGCCATCTACATGCTGGTCTCATAAAACCAGCAAGTTCATTAAACTGAAATACATTCTGAAGCTTAATAATATGGGAGGTTTTGTCTGGATTTTTTCCTTCCCCACCTCCCCCAGTCTGGTTTGAGGCTGAAAGAGCGAAAGGGACAGAAACACGTTACGCTTATAACTTCTTTTCCTCAAGTTACTGGGAACATTGGCTGTTTGTTCTGACTTTTTTTAATGCAATCAACGACAAGAAAAAACTGCCAGAGGGATGTTCACAGAAAATTAGCTCTATTAAAAGTTCAGCTGGAAACGAGTGCAGTGTCCAAGCCTTTTATTTTTGATTAATGACTAAAACTTTTAAATAATAAATGCCATATAATAATAAGAAACCATCATTTGCATAAAGAACGAAAAAAGATGAGCAAACTGAGTAGCAATTAGGAATTCATGTTCACGCCATGTTACTCAGCGCTGCTTGATTGGTTTCTTTGTCAAGAATGTCCCATTTACCAGTTTGGGCCGCTCTTAATGGGGCGTCCTTTTTCTGTGTGCTAACTGGAGACCAGCAGCAGCAGAACCTAACTAGTGTGTCCTTTCCCTTTGGATACGTATAACAGATTAAGTGGGCTTTGTGCAGTGTGAACAGGTCTGTACTACTGAGAGTATGAATCATGTTAGTTTCTATAATTGCTAACATCTGGCTTTCCATAAATCTGTTCAATTACATAGAAGCAGAATTAGATTTCTGTGTCATAAGTAAAGCAATTACATGGAACTCTGTAGGCAATATGGCTTTATATTCATCTGTGAAATCCTTTTATTTTGAAGTGTGAAAGCTACCCCTCTAATCTGCACTCTGATTCTGCTCCATCCTATAGATGTGCTGTTCAAGGAGCCCTTCATATGGCGGGGAAGAGAACTATTGACAATGCTTGGTGAAATCACCAAAGACCAAGTGAATGCTTCGTTTGTACCTTTGTCCTCAGCATAAAATACAAGTCGAATTTATTGAAGGGAAAATGGGATGTTTTTAAAAATAATATAAGTCTTAGGGTAGCTGTTTGGATACAATTCACTTCATACGAGTTCATTCGTAGCTCTCTTCATGTCACTCTTGGTGTTTTTTACCTCCTGGGATACTCTAGCACTTGTTAAACAATGAACTACAAGTTTAAATTTCTCTTAGTGCAGCTCCTTTTCCACCACTGAGAGTGGAGCTTTCAAGGACTCAGTAGTGCTCAGGTTTACGTTAGAGCCATAATGTGCTTTTTTGACAATTAAGACTGTCAGGGCAGCGAAGTACATTTTTAGGGAAGTCTGAGCGACGAGCCATTGAATCGTGCTACCGGGCTACTTTTGGAACATCCCTGACAAAGGACTGGCCCACAGGTTAGCCCAGGAGTGAAGTCCTTCTGCGGTGTCATTGTCTCCAGCTTCCCCTTTGGGTCTATAAGTAGAAAAAAGACCAGCCCTTTTCTGGTGGCCCAGGCCCTTGACTCACTGGTGCAGGTTGATTTTGTGTCTGCTCAAGGGCACTGCCACGTTTTCACTTGTTCCTGGACTATTTAGGAATTGAAATCAGTAATTATCCTATGTCAAAGGGAATTTTGTGATTTGATTGTTATTGAGAGTTTCCTTCAGCAGATTGAGATTATCATTACCATCTTTTAAGATCTGGCTTTCTGAGGAGATGACTCATGAACTCTCCCATTCAAAAAGTGGGGCAACTGCCCATCACACCCCACCTAAATTAGACTTGAGGTGATTTTTATTTGTAAATTCTATTGAATTTTTAGATTTGCTGTTTTAGAGAGGATTTAAAAGTACTCTTGGATTATATTGAACAGTTATAAATTTCACGCTAGCAATAAGGTCATTTTAGATGGTGAGTGGGAGGGTTCTTCCTTGTAATTTCTGAATTCATGCAATAGCATTCTGGAATTTTCATGATGGAGACCATCATTTACTTCTAATAGATTTTGTTTTTCACCCTTCCTTGCACTATTGGTTACAGTTGTCATTGTTCATGTTGGAACAAAAGAGGTCCGCCAGTTTACTGGTATTTTATCTGGACAATCTGCCAGTATGTTGTTTTGAGAGCAGTCCAGAGTTATTTTCTGAAAGAAATACCTGTTTTTAACGATGTGCTTAAAAATCTCATGGCTTTTGCTGCAAGAAAAAGAATGCTGCATTAACTCCCTAGATAAATTCATATTGCATAATTATATTTTGCTCTCCAAAAGCAATTTTAATGGAATACTGTAATTCACTTTTCTCTAGTGTGGAATGATTTTCTTTTGTTGCTTATTTCTTTGTGTCATTGCTAAATCATACATTTTTCTCCATAGCTGTGTTCGAAGACTTTTTGTCTGCATGAGATGCCTCTGATTTTTTATTTTTTTTCTTTTTGTTTTCCTTTTGGTTTTTTTTTTCTCTTTCCAATTCAGTTAGATCTTCCAGCAATGGGGAAAGGATGCAATTGGTTACTTCTAGTATGGGAAATGCTGATCATGCTGGGAACTTAGGAAGAGTAGTGCACTTTTATCTGGGTTCTGTCTAACTGATAGAAAGTCACTCTAGTTATTCACTAGTTTCTAGTCACTGGGAGATCACTATACACCCTTGGCCAAAGGTTCCCGTTCATCATTGCTGCACAGTTCCACTGGTCTGTCAGTCTCAGCATTGACAATTAAGCCTACTGCAGGTAGTTTAAGAATTCTTGATGGAATGAAAACAAACACTGAAGAATAACTGGAAAAAGTCAGTGTTTAATGTCTAGCAAGTAAATATAGAAGATACCAGAAAGAAGGCACCCTCTTCCACCAACAAGGCAGATGAGCACAAATGCCTTAATACAGAAAATAAAATTTGCCCTGTGAAAAAAAATATGTCCAAGCCTTACAAATCTGCTGTTTTGCAGATATCGATGAGTGTGCCTTAAAGACCCACACCTGTTGGAATGATTCAGCCTGTGTGAACCTGGCAGGAGGGTTTGATTGCCTTTGTCCGTCTGGACCATCTTGCACTGGAGACTGTCCCCATGAAGGCGGCTTCAAGCGGAACGGGCAGGTGTGGACCCTGAGGGAGGACAGATGCTCCGTTTGTTCCTGCAAGGTGAGATCCAGCTGGTCTGGGTTTCAGGTCTCCTTTAATTCTCTGGGCTCGTGTCAGAAACCCACTACTGCAGTGCCACTGGGGTTGGCAAAAAGACTAGCTCAAGCCCAAGGCACTGAGGCAAAAGGTAAGCTCTGCTGCAGGCACTGAAGCTGTGAGGGGGCAATTCTTCTGGGAAGTCATCTCTCTTTTTTCTTATTTTGCACAACCCCAGACACAGCTGAATAATGGCTACCCCTGCTTAGCTTCTGCCGTGTCACCCTGTGGGTCAGGGGCACTCGGAGCCTGCCTTGATGAGGGTCTTGTGTTACCCTTTAACGGAACGTGTGGGCCATGAGCACGCTTATGGGAAATGTTGAAAACTGTTTTGAATTTCTCTTTTATATCCATATGCATCTCTCTGGAGAAGTACTGTAGTCAGCCATCTTCCTGTCGACAGTGTTTCCCTTTACTTGGAATACAGGTGAATTAAGTGGGTGAGAAGAAATTCCTGGGCAAGAGCCAAAGGTTAGAGGACCCAGCAGCAGGCACGTCATTTCCCCAAGTGAAGAAGGGTGAAGCTTGGCTGTATTGGCAGCTCCCCCACAGGAGCAGTGCAGCTGTCTGCACCTTGGGAGAAGCCAAGGGTATTATAGGTAGATCTGCTTTAGAGTTAATGCTTAGATAATTTTGGGGGAGGGGCGGGGAAGTTTCCTCTGGAAATTACCGGTTCTTTTCTGAGTATTGTAACCAAGTTAAAAGAACATTTTACTCTGCTTTCTTCATTTTCACTAGTTAAAAGAGGAGTGCTGTCACTGTCATTAGGAGAATTTGAGAAGTGCACCAACCTGAGAAATGGTTGGTCTTTTATGGCCATTTTGACCTGATGCCTTTTGACCGTTTGCAGTGGTAAAACTGTCCTTAGACACAGCAGCACACTCTTGGCCCTTGCGTAGGTCTAAATAAAATGAGATTTTGGCCACTGAGAAAAGTTGACCGTGAGTATGAGAGTGTGAGAATTGGCCTACCCATCCCCATGTCTCAGTGCTCATGAGCCAGAGGAGCATTAGAGGGGTCGGAGGGGGGACAAGGGGAAAGACTTGTTTTGAAGTTGCAAGAAGCTGAAAGCCTCATCATTTCTGTTTTGCAATGGTGTAGCAGAAGGGAAAATCAAGTCAGAGTGAATAGAACCCACAAAGTACATGGCTGTTTTGGGCTCAAAAGGGAACGTATTGTTCTTATTTGCTGCATTTTTTACTTCAAGTAACCTCAAGCTCCCTAAAACTCCTCCCTTCAGAAGCTGAAGTGTACAACTCCACAGAATATATATCAAGCTTTTATTGTAATCTTGGGGAACTGACTGGCTTATGAAAGGATTTCCAGTCAATAGAATAAACAGTCTAATATATGTGTAGACATCTGGTCTGTCTTTGCAGAGTTACTACTATTAGTATTCCCAGTATAGATTCCTTGTGATTTATTTGCCATTTCTCATTGCTCTTATTTCTTAAGTTGAATGTTGATATTAGTATATGAAAATATACAAAATGATGAACTAGTGGATAGATACTTTAAACGAAGCCTGGCACTGTTTGTTGCTATGACTCTTCCTTTATGTCTTCCTCACTTTCCAGTTTTTTCCTCTGGGAATTAACATTTGCATTTAATTTCACTTCAGTAGCTGCCTTGTTTGAAGAGCCAAATTTTTGTCTGTAGAGCAGGGAAAACAGGGAGAGCTCCTCCTCTATCACATCCCAGGCGGGACGTAAAGTCTTCAATCAGCGTTTATTGAAATACCAAAACATATTCCATAACTTGTGATAGCCTCCAATACTCCAGACCACTTCTCCCACCTGCTGCCGGACTCCATCCTTTTCATGCAGCTGCACAGGGAGCTGGCCCTGCTCCACCTTTTTGCAGCCTGTTTGGTTTTCAGTGAGGAAAAGGGCAGAGCGTAACTAAATCATTCCTAACACTTCTTACCCGGCCTTTGAAATGATCCCGCTCACTTGCTTTACCTAGGAGACAAGGCAGCATTTCAGATTTAAAATAATAGGTTTTCTTTTGGCTTTTCTTTTGTTACGGTTATTTTAGGAAAGGTCAGATGGATCTATTTTGTTCAGTGGCTGAAAGGCATAGATCCCATGTTGAAAATACCTTAACTTAAAATCTGGTGCAAAGGAAATTCAATACCTTACTGAAATTGGAAGTTCATTAAGTAAGGTTATTTGTAGACCGGGATAATATGGAATATTAGAAATTATATTACTTCAGTTATGTAATGAGGGAAAGTGTTACCACTGAAGCAAAGGGGATTATTTCAGTGTTTCAGCAGACCCAGTGTCTTCAAACCATCCTTGTTCATCTGATGAAAAATAAAGTTTACAGAAACAAATTCTCCAAACGGTAAATTAATACCTTAAGTATATTTGATGTGTCTTCTACAGGTGTCTTCCTGAACTCCTGTGGATTTAATACACAAGACTGGTAGAAATTTGGTGGAGGGCAGGGAGCTGTTTCTCTCTCCCATGAGAAAACGAAGCCTGGCTGTACAGCCCGGCTGTATCTGGGCTTTGGAGTCTGTCCTCTAATTAAGACAACGCTCCGTTCCCTGTATGAGAAGAGCCTGGGGGATAAGCACAGCAGTGGGAACAGAGGGATGTGCCAAGGTGAAGCATATTGCTGGTGGCGAGAATGGTTTGGTTTCTGCAGGGTCTGATTTGTGTCCAAATTGGCTCTGGGGCTCTGGGGGACTTCAAGTCACCCTTTGCAGTGATTCCCTCGTGTGTCAGCTTCTCCTTTGGTGAGAACAGTTTTGTGTTCCTACCACTGGTGCTTATGAAGCACGTAGACCCGATTCAGTGAGGAAGGCGGGGAGGGAGAGGAACTAATAAGATGCTCTGTGTTATTACCCACTGAAAGAAAATAAGTTGCTTTCTCTCTATTTCTCAATTTTCTAGATATTTCCCAGTGCTACTGTGCAGCTGCAAAGATGCAAGTGAGATGTTGTAGCTTAAGAGGCTTTGTGTCGCTGCAGTATAGGGATAAAAATGTTTTTTGAAAGGCGTGGAACTAATGAGGTTGTAGATAAAACCCAAATGCTTAAAGAACAAAGAGAGTAGCAGTGTGTTATGATTACCAAAAGGTCTCTGGCAAAATCATCAGACTTTGTCAGTGTTCTGAAATAGGGAGAGGAAAGGCAACAGAAGAGGTTAGCTGCTCCCCAGAGGTACCAGCGTGGGGCCTCAGAGAAGCACAGAACTACCAGCACTGTCACCAGCTGAAAGGGGAATTTGAAAGCTTGGAAAGGGGATGGGATGAGCCATTATTAATCAGCGCTCCGTTGTGGAGAGGAGAGAGGCTGCCGCTGTGGAGGGCGCTGGGTTGCCCGGCCGCCTGGCGCAGCCCCTGGTGCCCGGAGCTCAGCAGCCTGGCACAGCTTTTGTGCTGAGCTGCCACGTGGGGTCTGCCCTCAGCAAGGGGTGGGAGAAGGTTGTGCCTTCCTACCTGTGAGAATGGAAATTTAGTCCTAATTCTCTGCCCGGAAAGGCTTTTGGCTCTCTTTCACGACTTGCTGGAAGGGGAGGATGACTTCTTCCTTTGTTTTTTTGTGGCAAGGGTTTATTCCCAGCCCCACATGTGGACCTGGCCAGACCTGTGGCTGAGGAAACGGGCCCCTGCCAGGCTTCCTTACTCATGATTGACTCCAACTACTGAGTAGGGAAATAAAGCTTGTTTATTCCTTCTTCCCCAGCTAAAGCAGCAAACTAAGCACAGGTTAGTGTTAAAATCCTTGGTTACATTGGTACAAAACTGAATAAAGACTGTAGGGCAATCTGGGGCTATACATTGTGGTTGGCAACAGCAGTTCAGATCCACGTTAACCTAGCACGTTTTCTACATTTCTGTAATTCTGTTTTCTCTTTCCTTGGTGAACATAAGAAATCATTTTCTTTATTTTTAAAGCTGAAATGAATATTCTGATCCATTCAACACTATGATGAAATGCAGCAGCGACACTGACTGACGTGGATATTTTGATTCCCTGATGCTGGTATTGTAGATGTTGCATTGTGCCCAAGACTAGCTTTGCTTAAAAACACCAACCAAACACAGATACTGATATGAAAATATAAACAAAAGAGCCTCCCATGCAACATGCTGTGGTTATGGCTATTTTGTCTGCCTGTGGAAGAGGCGTCCTGGGGTGCTGTCACTCTTTAGCAACCACTTTTTGAAAGGATCAAGAGGAAATCAATTCCCTTGCTTTGATGGGTATCCCTTTATTTGGTGGCAATGAGAAAAAAACCTTTTCCTTCTTACATCAGAGGCAGGTTTATAGGTTCAGAAGAAGATTCTGATGAGAATATGGAAAAACTGCAGCAAAATGAGTGGAGCTGTTTTAGGAATTGTACAGTTGTGATCCAAAGCAGACCATAGCTTCATTCCTCTCAGCTCCACCTTCACATTGGCTGCAGGGGATGCTTTGCTGGAGTAAGGACTAATCCAGTGACTGGCACTGAATGCAAGGGAAGCTCATGTCAAAACTTTTCAGTAATTTCCTCGTTGTTAACTGTGATCTCAGTTCCCAGTCTGCGTGTGGCATGTCGGTGTGTTGGCTCACCTACAGTAAGGGGTAGAATTTCAAACACCATGGTCCATCCATTTTTTCTACCTAGAATTGGAATGAATTTGTATTTTTGTGATGCAAATATAATAGATCCTTTTCTCTTTACACTCAGAAGCAATTCTTCTGTTTATCTCACACAGTTCTGTTTAATGGTCTTTAACAACATGGGCCATCCAGTACTGTAAGCAAGTATTTAGCAAAATTCTGTTTTGGAGAGCCTGTGGAATACGGGTCCTCTTTAACACATGAACTGAATTATAATGGATGATGACAAGTCCATTCAGCTTTAAGCGGGTGTGCTGTAGGTCCAGATGTGGAACGGACCCAGTGGTGAATTCAGAGTTAAGAATGATTAGTGCTGCTGTGATTTTGCTGTATTTACTCCTTTGAAGTTAAAGGGACACCTTCATAACTTCAATTTAGTTATTCAAGTTATTTTCTTCACAATGATAGATTCAGTCAAAATAGTGCTTATACCAGTATTATGGCAACTACTTGAAGGGTTCTCTGATGTATCCAATGAGATCTGAAATTGCTTCACTACATTTCTTCCGAGATACTGGTTTCTTTAAAATTCAGTTAGCTGGAGACAGGAAAACGGTGTTCTCAGGTTCAGACAGTATTGGATCCATGCACTGATAGAGATTGGGACATACTGGTATTTGAGGTTTTGCAACTGGCCTGATCAGTCCTTGTTGGGGGTAACATCGGTTACGTTAAGAGCTTGATATTTCCTGCTGTGCCAGAGATGTGCCCTTTGATATATGTGCCCTGTGACCTTCTCCGGGCTGCTGTCTGGTGGTCTGTGGCTGACATCAGGGCAATGTGTCCTCGCAGGACGGGAGGATCTTCTGCCGGAGGACAGCCTGCGACTGCGAGAACCCCAGCGCCGACCTCTTCTGCTGCCCGGAGTGCGACACCCGCGTCACCAGCCAGTGCCTCGACCAAACTGGGCACAAGCTCTACCGCAGCGGGGACAACTGGACCTACAGCTGTCAGCAGTGCCGCTGCCTGGTATGGGGAAAGCCTTTTGGAAGGGAGCAAGAATAATAATAAGGATTATGGTTCCTAGCAAAGCACACCTGGAAGCAGGCTCTCGGCTCTCTCTTTCCCTGCTTTTCAGACTGGGAATGATGATAAAGCGCTTAGAGAGCACCAGAGACCTGAAAGCTCCACCATCCGTTTCCTTTGCTGCTGAATAAGTAGTTCTAATGAACAAAATGAAAAGTGTGACAAAAGCTTGGAAACCTTGACACTATATTAGCTTTAGCATTAGTCTACTTTTGAGATCTTTTATAAGGTCGTCTCATCTTTAAGTGACTTTTAAAATTTTTTCCCCATGCATTGGGTTTGCTTGGAGAAGTTTCAGCGTTTAATTCCATCAGCTGGTGTACCTTTCTTATCAAAACAGACAAAGCAATTCTTTTTTTATTTTTCCCTCAGCAAGTGCTGGAAAAATGGAGTGCCAGTGCCACGTGGTGAATTAGTAAAAATTAACCAAAAAAAGCAGGATAAAGAAAACTGAAATTACTAGACAAACATGCAAAATGAAGGATGTTTATTTTCTCGTTAGGCACTGTAGATTATTTCCCTAAAGCTTTAAGTTTTGCACAGTGATACTAATTAGTGCAGCAATGAACTTCATTAAAATGATCAGGTTTCCATTTATAGCTGTCTGTATAACATAGTCTAAGATATGATATTAATCAAGAGGTGTCTGAGCATCAGGAAACAAATTGCATTCAAAGCTAAATTACTGTTAAAAGACAATTATCCATAAAGTACAGCAGTAAGTATTGTATTTTGTAGTCTCTGAAGGTTTTTTTTTTTTAAATGTTTGCAAAAGAAGAGCAAGAAACATTTGCAGCCAGCAGCAATGGCAAATATTAGATGTGTGTTTTACAAGGGCTACTGTGTTTGTGGCTAGCAGTTCTTTGCCTAATTTTATGATGGGGTTAACATGCAGAGCTAAGAGACAGCTCTGCCCTGAATCAGTGCTACATGGACGGGTCTGTGCAGCGGGTGATGTTCCCAAGGGCTGAAGTGCTTACCCAGGAGCGTGATGCAAGTCATTGGAGCCCTTCACAGGTCAGGTTTAGACACACAGAGCAATACCCTCCAGAAGTAACCTGATGACTCTCTCTTCTCCATGTTTCTATCTACCAAACTGTTGGGTTTTTTTCAGAGCTAAATAAAATGACTCAGTGGAACATCCCTGGTAGTGTTCTAACAATTCCCTTAGGAGTTGACAGTAAAATCAATCTTGGCCATTGCTAGTTAGATCAATGTTCAGTGCTTCTCGAACCCACTAACCTACATCTATCTGCAGTGTTAATTTTCTATTTAAACAGTTGCTGGGATCCTGCAGAGATGTTGATGTGACCAAATGTAGAGAGAGGGCAGGGGTCTGAAAGGCAGTCACTGCAAAAATTCTAGTTTATGGAAAAGATTGGAACCCAGTATTTAATGCTGCCTTTAAAAACCCCACAGAACTGAGGTTCCCCTGCTACGATGGTGACAGTGAGGGTCTTTAGTCAAGAAACAACCAAACAATAGTCTGCTACATTTAGGAAACTTCAGTATTCAAACGTGCATTTATATGATCAGCCGACCAGAGGGCCGATCCAGGAAGTTTAGTTCAATTTTGGCAAAATAAAACTTTTCCATTCAGCAGGGTGCAAAGTTTCTTGGTAGCTAATAAATGGCAACAAATTCCATGAGCTTTGCTTGAATTTTCACAGGAAGGAGAGGTGGATTGCTGGCCTCTTTTGTGCCCGAATCTAAACTGCGAGTACACAGCCATCTCAGAAGGAGAGTGCTGTCCCCACTGTGTTAGTGACCCCTGCCTGGCTGACAACATCACCTACGACATCAGGAGAACCTGTCTAGATGGCTATGGCATCACGAGACTTAGCGGCGCTGTATGGACGATGGTGGGATCTCCTTGTACGACCTGCAAATGCAAGGTGAGATGGACAAGGTAGAATGGCAGTGGGAGTGTATGTTGCTGCATCAAATCAGGGTGCCTTTCTGCCCTTGGGAGCTCACGTTCAGATCTTGGGGCAATAAATGAGACCCGAGGGCAGAAGCCTACAGAAAACCCACACCTTTTATGTTCTGCAGGGTGAAAACAAAACAGTTCTGTGCTTGTTGAAAATGTTGAGCACAGATATATAATATCCTAGTGCAACTTTCAGTTCTGTTGGAGAGCCCTTCAGGCATTCTCCATATGAATCTAGGCTAATATTTTAATAATTGCCTAATGCGAATGTTCATGAAAATATGTTTTACAGAGCTGGTAAGCAGAGGCAAAAAAACTAATCAAAGTTTCATCAGTAAGTAGACAAGTAGAAAGGCATTGCAGGCCAGAGATGAAGGCACTCCCCCAACAGAAGTGGGAAGGGAATGTCACAGCTTCTGTTCCTGATCTCATCAGGATGTATTTAATCCAGGGGCTCTAGTGCAGAATCACAGTCTGTCTCCCTCGCTCTGTGCAGCGATGACCCCACTGTGTTAATATCAGAATTATGAAAATGTTGTTTTGGGTTATATAAAATGTTGTTCTGTTCACTGTGGGAAACCAAGCTGTTGCTCCAGGGCTTTAAATTATTGAAGGGAGTTTTTCTGCCATTCGTCAGAGTTGTTCCTATTGATTTGGTTTGGATTAAAAAAAAAAGGAAATAAATTGCTCGCTTGGGGTTTTGGTGGTTGCTGTAGTTTTTATTACATAATACAGTTTTGTAAATGACTGGATGTTGCAGAAATACATTTAACAACAGATTGAGTTCCAAAGCCGTGTGTCGTGTGTGTGTGTGTCTGTCCCCCCTCGACATATCTACCATGAATCCAGAATCTGAACTATCTGCTTATTTCAGGCAAACAGAACCCTTCCCTGCACGGATCCCATCAAAACTCTCTCCATAAACATTCTTGCATGGGAGAGAAATCCAGTCGTCCCTGTTGCCGTTGCCGTGGTGTATTCTGTTATGGGGACCACTGAGTCTTTCACATCCAGGTTTCTGGTTCAAGTGTAGTTCAGGCCAGTTCCGTGCTATTTGGCAAAGCCAGCCCCCTCATAAAGCCCCACAGCTGAGACCAAAGAGGCCACGTTGGGACGATGGCTTAAGCAGATTTCTGAGTGTGGTAGATGTGTGAGAGATGCCATTCCACCAACCCCTTTGCTCTTTCTAAGTTCCTGTGTGGAGGTGATTGATGCCTGCTCGTTTGTCTGTGCAGAATGGGAACGTCTGCTGCTCGGTGGATTTAGAGTGTCTCAACAATAACTGACGGGGTCAGACTGGACTGTACCGGGAGAGGAAAACCCATGAAGTGAACACCTGAAACGAAGTCATACGCGTTGGCGTTTTATACAACAGACAATGACCAAAGTCTCCGCATGAGGAAGATGTTTGGGAGTTGCCTTTGGGACCTATCACTATGCTCATCCTTGCTAGCCTTGTCTGGGTGACTTACAGTACAGCGCATAGAAGTCAATGGTTGTTAAAAGTTTTCAGTGTTGTAAATTACACACTTTTCCTGTCAAGACATTTGCTAATATGTTTAAATTCTTTCATGGGTAAACTAATGCTGTATTTTTGTTTTAATTTGTGTATTGACAACATGATAGAATTCAGCTCTTCTTCCTTTGGATCTAGATTTTACAAACAAGACAGCCTGTTGTGATTTTGTCCCATGATATCACATACTTAGTTCCAGGGTCCCTGTCGGATGTATTTATGAAAATATGTATGTATGTACAGTCAAATTGCATAGTACTTATATTTCACAGCTGTCCAATGTTTTAAAGCATTCAAAGGTATATTTGATTGGACAGAATGGAAGTGATCCAAATAAGTCTGTCTTAAAAATTTATAAAGTTAAATGCCATGAACTTAGTGAAATGGCAAAAAAAAAAAGCACTTTCTTCTCCAAACAAGCGGAGCAGGAGCAAGACTCCTCTAGTGAAAAATGGAACTAAAACCACATTCCACCTTGAATTCAACACCTATTCAGGAAACAATCACCAGTCATTCCCAGTATTATTCTGTCTTGCAAGAGCAACTGCAACTGCTGGAAAAGCGTATAATCCCTCTGGGTTAAAAACAGTCAGAGAGCCTTAAGATGATAGAGTTTAAATTGAAGAGGTTAGAATTTGCTTTCAATTGTAACATCATTGATGAGTTCAGAATGTTTCCTTTTTTGTATTTACAGTAATAAAGATGCCTGCCATTCTGTTACTGCTGCCATAATGACAAAGGGCAGAAGCACCTGTACCAGTGACATGCGGGACAGGAGACCTTAACGCTTGGTAACTTTCACTACCCAATGTAGAGCTTAGAAACAGAGTTACTCTTTTCATAATTTATGGCATTAAAAAATATTTAGTTTTAAATTTACCATGCGCAGTGTTGTTTAGTACCTAAGTTTAGACAGAAATACAAATTAAAACTCTTAGCCCTGTGTTGAGGTTAGAGTTTAGATTCTTTTCAGCTGATGTCTGTTCCTTTCATGAGGCTGGAAAGTGTGTGGCATTAGAACAGGAATATATTTCTACGATGATGGCATCTACAGCTTAAATGTCACCTCTTGAACGTGCTGTTGTGTTTTGTTCTGCTCATTTGTGTAGTGTTTTTTTGCTTTTTGTTTATTTAATTAAGCACTGAGCATATGGAAAAGAGTGCAGAAATAAGTATAGTGGCTACAGTTTGGGAAGTATCCATTTGTGAGTTTTTCATAGGTTCATGCAGAAAATGTGAAACTGATGAATAAGAATGAAGTGTGACTATACAGTGAAAAAATGAGTTGTCTTTTAAATGAAGTACTCTTATGTTTCTTATAAGGGGAAAGTGGCAAAATGATATAAAAATTAATTGTGGTCATTCAGAGAACTTTATTTCCATTTTTTAAACAGGATTTGTTTTATCTAACAGATTTGTGTGGTAAAGTTAAATTTATTTTCTTAAAATGCCCCATCATTTTCAGCTCCTAATGTATTGACTATATTTGCATTGCCCTGATGATTGTATAATAAGGGAAACAGTTGTGTTTTATATGATACTCAAAGGATGTTTGTAAATCATACTGTCGGCTCATTTTGTAGATCACCTTGTAAAACCCAATGGTAATTCAGTTGGATGAGATATCCAGTGGGCTGAGATATAAAGGGGAATGATTTAAAACTTGTGGGCATCTAAATAAACTCCGATGTACAGATTGCTTTCCCTTAGTTTTATTAGCAGAGTTTTAAAACACTAATCACTGTCCTTTTCAGACTTGAACTGGTGATGTTGCTAAGAGGAGAGAGTGTTTGCCCAGAGATGTAGCCTCAGAGTTGTAAGAAATAATTCATTTATACTCACTCGAACAGAAACATGTATTCCAGTCTGTCATATACGCCAGTTTTGGAAGCGATGTGGATGGGATTGAAGACAGTGCAGGGTCTGAAAAGCCACCTTTTCCCCTTTACCTTGTAGCAATGAAGCCCTTTCCGGGGAGGTTTTCTGGAAGCTCCAACCTTTGGTAGGATCACATTCAGCAGGAGCACAGAAGTTCATGTTTTCCCACTGCACAGACCCGTTTTCTTCCAGAACTCAAATGCAGATCAGTTCAGTAAAACCCTTTCAGAACGTTTTATACAGCATTATGTGTCATTATCTCCAGAGTGATACAGCTTGAACTGTTTACACAAAGTCAAAATATTGACACAGACCTGTTTGTTTATGTTGCATTTTAAGCAGTTACCCTGACTGTGATGAACTTTTCCTTAGGAAGCAATTTGATCACTAGTCCCATCACATTTACCTTCAGAGCACTCAGAAGCCCCAGCCCCAGCTCAAAGAGCCCATTGAGGAGGAAAATATAAGTCCCTGTGTTCCTCTGTGACCAAGGTAAGAATTTTCAGAACCCTTTTGTTGATGAAATTCCCTATAAGCCTATGGGCACTACAGTGAAAATGCTGAAAAAAATAATGAATTTATTAGAATAATTTCTGAAAAATCTCCTCTTTGTTAGTGTGATGGACCTTCTCTCTGCTCAGGAGGTAAGAACAATAGTATTTATGTGAGGAGGGCTACTAGTGTAACTTCTGTGAAAAGAAATTTGATGCTAGTTAAGGGACCGGGTCGAAGCTCACACTATAGCAGCTGGAATTTTTTAGCTCTTTCTACTTATTTATTCTGTAAACAAATATTTTCTTTGCATGTAACACTTCGGATGACAAAAAATAAATGAGTGAGAAACAGAAAATGAAAATTCCAGCTCTGGTAAAATGTCTTTGCCTCCTTTTTTTGGCAAAAAGCTGAGCATCTGGGTAATAAACCTGAACATTATATTCTGTCTTGTGAGGAAAGCAGCTTCTCAGTTCGGCTCCCTGTGTATTTGCAAACTCCCCCACTGGAATCAAGCAAGTGCAAGTATCATAGATAGAATGTGGGCCTTTGTAGTGGCTCCTCGGGTCATGGGCCACGCTGAGCCGTGCTCGTCAATATTAAAGGCCAAAGAAAATCCAAACTATTCCCCACGAATGCTGAATAATATCTGCCTAATTCACAGGAATGTGTGGGAGATTTATTAGTGTCTCTGTATTGCCTCAGAGACTTGAATACCAACCTTCTAGTAACGTATCTTCTCCCAAGAGCTGTCAGGGAGTTTTCAGGTATAACTGCATACAACGTTTAATTAATAACATTTTTTCAATCAGATTGCAATGACAAACAGAATATAATCTGTTTTTTTTTTTTCCTGTGGTAGACAATAATGTTTTACAAAACAAAAGGTAAAGTGTCAGGAGTGATTACACAAATGGTGGAGTAGATTGTAATAGAATTAAATCATAACTCCTATGAGCCATATGAATGTCTCGCATCTAGTGGTACTTACATAATCATCATTAATGAAGGGATTTTAAGAGGGCCCCGTGATACAGTTTGATGTAAAATTTTAAGTGAGTGTTGTGATAAGACATAATTGTTTGAGGAGCATTTTCTGCCATCAGAAATACGTACCTGCCAACAAGCCACTGTTCCTCCTAAAGTAGATCTTCAGCACTCATTGAAATTTAAACTGGTGTAAGGAAGACTCATGGTGGTATAACTTTAATTAAAAAAAATTAATATAATGTTCAACCATGCCTCAAATTCAGCTCTTCTCTCTTACTGGTAGAAGTCAGCAATAATTCTGTTCCAGCTTGTCACCTGACACAGGAAGGTGTTAGTGAATTGCTAGTATTGCTTGTAATCTGCAGATATTTCTTGTGGATGTTAAGGAATTGTTCCTTGCTACCAGCTGCCAGAGACCAGTCCTGCATACACAGCTTTTGGATAGGCCTGGGAAGGGTGTGTATCAATAAACTATTTAAAAGGATTTTTTTAATGAAACCATCACCAGGAGATTCACAACATGTGGGCACATGATGGCAAAAAACCCCATGGGCCAGTCAGAAAAAAAACAAAAAGGCCCCTGAAACCGTGTGTGTGTCATTTAAATTCTTTAGTGTTGCTTAAGCTGCGCAGTGTGAGGGATGCGCTGAGTTCTGGGGAGTGGATTTCTGGCTGGGAACCAAATCTCTGCTTCAGCAGTACCTCACACTTGAATTATTTTTCTTCCTAAACTTGAACATGAGATTGTTGTATTTAAGTGGTTTGATTGGAATGGAGCGGTGTTTGGAAGCAAGCCTTGTCGTGTTCTCTTGGAGATGGAAGGAGCTACAACAGGATCTGGAGCAACTCGGGCCTCGTTCTCGGATGTGCCTCTGCCCTGACGGGATGGAACTGCCTTGGGAAAAGGCAGGGAGTTACCCAGTCGGCTCCGGGGTGTTTGGGGGGTCCTGTGGTTAGAGCTGGGGATTTTCCAGGCTTGGGATGGTATTGACCCTGGGTACGGCAATAGCTACACACACTCTCTGAGAGTGGCTTTTGGTTGCCAGTCTCTGTTCTGTAGTTTCTCTCACACGACTAGTCGTGTCATCCATACACCAGAACATATTTGCCTGTCCCCAAGCTCTTAATTATTGAATGCCTGTGTGGTTGTACGTGTACACGTGTAGATCCACCAGGCACCTCAGTGAAGACCAGCTTAGGGGTTCTGCACCAGATCACACCATTGCTCAGACACAAAGCAGAGACCTGGAGCTCATAATGAAATTAAACCAGGGTTGAAAAACCCTGTTTTCTGATAACACAGTTGTTAGATTGCTGTTTGATTAACTCTAAATCGAATTTTTCTGTCACAAGAATTGCAAATGTATTTGATTTAATCCGGTGCTTCTTCATACTTGTTTTGACGGGTTCCCTTTGACTTCAGCACTAAATGTGCAGGCTTGTTTTCCTATCTGAATATTATGCAAAATTCTCATCTGGGTACTAGAATGTGTAGGCTTTGCTACTGTTGTTCCTCAAAGTAGGCATTTCTTAACTCGATGTCTATGAAATTAGAATCAGAGAATCACTGAAGTATGTTCAGGAAAACATTAAGGGTAAACTCTTATCTGTTCAGATAAGGGTTAAGGAAACCCAAATATGTATTTTAAAAGTCAATTTGCAGCTGTAGAGGTGATTTTTCAGCTGACCAAAGGTTTGGTCATTTACTCACATTTGTATTAAATCATTAGCTGATTAGTTCACTTTTTCCACAGGTTTATTATGTGATTTGCAGAGTAAAGACAACTCTGAGAACTGGGTAACTGCTGCATGAAGTCATCCCCATGAACAGGTTTTCACGCAAAAATAGAATTTGTTAGAAACTACCACAGAAATACCACTAGCCCTTTCCCAAAACCAGAAGCAAATATCTCATGTGGTCCTGGACAATGCGCTTTTGCCACATTTTTCTTTATTTTTTCATACTGACACAGCACGGCAAGTCTTTGGAGAGCATTTGGGCAGCTGCCACAAAATGCTGTTCAAGTGCCGCTTTGGCTCTTCTCTTGTGGCTGAGCTACCGCTGCCCACACGTGCGGTGGTGGGAGGAGGTGGGTGCTGTGGGCATGATCTGTTGAGGGTGGCCGTGGTGGGACGTACCCCAGTGGTGGCCGTGGTGGTCGGTGTGCTGGAGGGTGTGGAGGAAGCCCTCACAAAGCTGTCAGCAGCAGGATGGCAGCAATCCCATCTTGTGACTTCTTACTAGGTGAAGCAGAGCAGAGCAATAAGCTTGATACTTCCTCCTTGTCCTGCTCTCCACCCAAGCCAGGAAAAAGTCTTCAGAAGATACCTTTCTGCTGGTGCCTTGGATGGTTAAGGAGGAGCTTCCCCGGACTGGATGGAGGAGGATCTAGGACTGGATGGAAAGGTGGGAAGTAATTAAATGCATAACAAAGCAATCCTTACCTCAATGAGCTAATTAGTGATGTCAACAGGTATTACTACATTGAATTTTAATTCTACGTAAAAGAAAACCAAAAGTGGCTGTTCCTTTCTTTACAGTTTATTTCTCACTTTTCTTGAGTCTTTTGCTGATCTCTTAGGCCTTCCCATTGCTGCAGTCTTACAGCCTGAAGGGGGACTGAGCAGGGGAAGGTGAAAACTAAGCAAAAGAAGTATTCGTTATCATGCCTATAGTTAATAGAAATTTGGAACTATAACTGATTTTTTCTTCCATTCAAATGTCACTTTTTAAAATACTAGTCATAACTATAATTAATGTGTAGTCTGGACCTCAGTCTCAAAAGCCTGTTATTATTAAAGCAAGCCAGATAATTCAGTTCCCTAACTTGCAGTTGTAGCACGCCCCTCCCTTTTTTTTTTTTTTAATGACCTCTCATTTAAGTATTTATTCTCTCAGGGAACAAGGGAACTATATCTCTGCCATTTGAAAAGAGGACTCCAGGCTGTCCCTGAGTATGGTCTGTTCTGTATCTTTTGTGCCTGGAGCTCTCAGAACTCCCTCAGCAGTATCTGAAATGCACTTGGTAAACCAAAAGCACTTCTGTATCTAGAGCCGAGTCGATCGACACACAGAAGGGAGGGTAAGTGAGCCTGTCAGTGACAGGAGTCTCGCATCAATCCTTAACAAGGCTCCAGGCATCACCAGAAAGTGTTCAGGGACGTGCAGGATGGTGTAAATCACAGATGCTGGCTGCAGCTCTGTGTGCCTGCAGAGTTCAGAGGCGTTAAGCTGGAGGTTTTCATTGAAATTTCATTTCATATTGCTTAGCGTGAAAGTTCAAAGCTATTTCTCTTCCCCAATTAAAGCATTATTGTAAGCTATACAGGATTATGGTGTGCACATATATATCCTCTACAATTGGGGAAAAAAAGAAAGTATCCTTGATGACCGTTTCACCTCTTAGTAGCCATCTCATTCTGTGTCACTTGTCGATGTTTGAGATGTTATTTACAGAGCAAGCTTGTCCAGTGTAAGTAATACTATTTCCAGTGAAAATGGATGTTTGCCGTCTGTTTCAGGTGAGCTGATCTGCTACGAGGGCAGCCATGAGAAATGTCAGTCCCACACGTTCAAAAGTTATACCCCAGCTGTGCTAAAATTAAGGCTTAAGCTGTGTTTTGAAAATAGACGTTTTTCAGTGATCCGAGGGCTTTGGTGCTGAACTTGTATGGTTCCTGTTGGTGGGACTCCAGCCTGCCCTGGGCCACAGAGGCTGCTGGAAAGACACTTGCCCAAGTGGCTGAACCACCTGGAGTGAGCTTGAGAGCTTTTGGGAGGCAGCTGACACTGGAGAGGGGTCTGTGTTTGGAAAGGAGTGAAACGTGGTGCTTGTGCTGACCTGCTTTCCTTTCGGTGTTTGTGCTCTGAATTCATGCCAAAAGGTGACCAACTCTTGTGCCTAAGTGTAAGCAGACAAAATCTCCATAACTTTGCGGAAAGCCCATCCCACCAAACCCCCAGAAAATAAGAAAGAGAGCCTAAGGAGAAACACAGTAAATCTTTGTCACTGAGTAGACAAAAACAAAATTGGATTTAGCAATTGTAGTTCATAATGGGAATGCCATAGTAGCAGTGCCAGATTCATAGTCCTAGCTTTAATGCAGAAAAAGTAGTCTTCTAGCACCGTGCCAGCAAGTCATGGTGTGGTCTAACTGTGCGCTATGGGATGTCATAAAAGTGCATGCAGAAAACAGTTTCAACTCAACCAAAAAAGTATCATTCAACGGGTGTAATCAGAGTGAAATAAATTGATCAGCAAAACAGTAAATTTAAAAAACTTTTGATGTGGGATTGGCCCATGTGATTATCAGATCTTAATTTTTAAAAGATCAATGGTTTGTGACAGCTTAAAAAGAAGAGTTTTAGGAATC